AGTTGACATTCAGCTCAGAATTATTGACATGACCTTCGTCTTTTCGTTTATAGAATGCTTTGGGAATCCAGAAATAAAATCGCGCACATTGTAATGGAATGTGATCCAGTATGCGTTGCATTCAAACAACATACATTACGGCCAAAGGAGAGCGAATATGCATTAGTAAGGAAATACTCATTTGAAGATGCGGTGAAAGATATAGTTAGTAGGTCAGCCCGTTGATGAAAAATTCCACTTGAATAGTCGAGGCGCATAAGCTGAAAATTGTGCACACACTAAATAAGCTTAAATGCTCCCTCTTGATTGGCTTGCAATCAAAGCAACCAACAAAACCGCTTTCTTATCACCTGTTAACGAAGCTATTTCCGAAGCTATACTTGCAGGTGCAGGTTCCAGGTCAAGCCAAGCGGTTCGTCATTAGCTGCATACTACAGATGGAATCAGAATATTCGGGAACATTTCCACACATTTTTTCTCTAATCAAATTAAGTCGACATGATTTGCGCAAAACATACCCAAGGACGTCGCGGATTTTGGATCAGCGTGTGCTGGATACTACTTTTGCCTCGGATTGCTGTGTTAACAGCGTTTTATCTGTGTAAATTGTGCATCAATATTCTTCCTTTGGCGTATTGTCCAAGCGGTGGAAAGTTGGCGACTATTCTTTTGCTAATTCCGGAGATTTCATTGAGTTACTCTACTGCCACCTCTGTCCGCCATCTTGGATTTGCTCTAGCTTGTGATGTCGTCTCAAGCTACTTGTGGTTCGTGTTCGAAAGTTGTGGGAAATAAGGCTCATGCACTTCGGTGCTTCGACTGTGATGTTTTGTTCCATATTTCGTGCATTGACTTATCCATTTACGTGTTTCGAAAATCGCTTGACAACCGACATCGTTTTTTTCAAGTTCTATGTGATAAATGTCGCGGTACAAGACATCAGAATACGCAGAGACCGCAAACAACTACGGGAAAATCTCTCTTTCAGACAGAAACAAACCGTTCACCACGTGGGATCAAACGCCCTCGTCAAAGTACCTCTGTCACCTGGCCTTCTATTGTCACTCCGCGATCTGCACCACCACCAGTGTCTTCGACCCCGGCCGAGTTCCAGGTTCAATGCTCCCCACTGATGGAAGACTCAGCTTCGGAAGCTACGAAATGCCGCTTCACTGATCGGTCCGTGAATTTCTCAGAGGCTGTCTGTGAACTTCTGAACACCGAGGATCCATGGACCACTTAAAAGCGCAAGGGCCCCCGTAATCGTGTTCAGACGTCACCTGCTGATAAACAAAAACCCAATCAGTTAAGCGACTCTAGTTCTGCTCCCACAGGTTCATCACTGATTTCGTTGAGGCGTCATAATCTCATGGTCTTCCACGTACCAGAGTCAAAAGATGAAAACCCTCAGATACGTTATGATCACGATGTTGATTTCCTCCAGGAGCTCATCGATAGACACTTGGATGTGGGCGAAGACAGTGTGACGATTAAACAAGTACTCCGACTTGGCCAGAAAACTAACCAGTCATGTCGACCTCTGAGAATCACCTTTGCAAATCCCAATATGCCGCAGCTCATACTGTCTCGTATGTCAAGGCTGAAAGGCATAAAGGTTCACATCCGCCGAGACTTGGAACCCGAAGACAGGGATCGATTGAAGACTGCGGTCATTGAGCTCAAACGCCGTACAGAGTAAGGTGAGACTGACTTAAAAATTGTAAATTTTCGGGTGATCAAGAAGGGTGCACGAACCCGTATCAACCGGTTGCTCAACCTTCAGGCACGTCCCGCAGTACCTCCCAGGACCTCCGTGTGGCATTCACCAACGTGTGCAGCCTAGTGAGCAAACGTGACGAACTGCGCCGCTTCGTTGTTTCGGAGCGGCCGGACGTTTCAGGACTTGTAGAGATTTGGCTGAACGATGTCATACCCCAAGAAGTCGTGTTGCCAGGATACCCTTTTTTCCGATGCGACCGAAAATCAAAGGCTCATGGTGTTGTTCTGTTGTACATAAAAGCGTCACTATCTGGCAAACTTACCAGCACCTATCGGAGCGAGGATAGATTAAGCGAGCAATTGTGGTGCACAATCCGCCTCAGACGCGCAGAACTAATAGTGGGTGTTATCTACCGGAGCCCATTAAACCGTTGTTGCGATTGGCTACCACATGTACAGAAGCACATGAGCTGCACTCAGTTCTTACTGATGGGGGATCTAAATTTACCTAAGATATTTTGGCCAGACGTTCGACTTCTTCCCGGCAACATTGAGGCACAATTCGCTAAAATGACTATTGAAATCGGGCAACGCAACATGGCATCCAACCGACGCGAGTAACACCGCACTCGGCATCTTGTCTGGACCTAATGTTTACGAGCTGCTAGCAGAAGCTGAACGAGATCAGAATCATCGAGCATCTTGCGAACAGTGACCACTGCTCCATTGTGGCAAGATTAGAACTGTCGTTACCATATTACAATCAACGGAAGCCGAGATTCAGTTATTGGAAGACGGACTTCCAAGGGCTCGTCCAAGCCGCAAGTCAGACTGATTGGACAGTGCCACAGCATGCGTCGCTTGGGGCCAGTTGGTCATTAATGAAGGTGAAGCTTAACTCGTTGTGTACCCAGTTCGTCCCGCTGAAGTATTCAAAAGTCGGACCTGACAAACCGCATTGGTTTGATCCGGAATATAGAGAGTTAGCGGGACGGCGTCGCAAACTTTGGGATAAACACATCAGCTCGGATTGTGACAAAGATTACATGGTGTACATGAAACAGCGTAAATTATGTAACGCCACAAAAATCAAGAAACGCCGGCAGTTCGAAGAGGATCTATCATCCTCGAGCAAAACTGCACCCAAAAGAATATTTGCCCACTTGAAGCGTCAACTGAAATCTGAGGGTGACCTACCGGTCTTAGAAAGTTTAGACGGAAGGACGCTCATTTCAAACGCGGAGCGCGCGGACGCCTTGGCTATGCAATTCCTCAGAGTATTTCCCAATAAACCGGCGGCTGTTCCAGCACCGGCACAGGTTTCGCCAGTCTTGCTTGACAGCCTACAATGTGATACAGTCGAAGTGTATCAGCTACTCGTCAACCTCGATGGTGCAAAGCCCCCCGGACCAGACGGACTTCACCCACTAATACTCAAGTCCCTATCGATTATCATCACACCAGCCGTGACAACTATATTCAATAAATCACTCTCTGATGGATCTGTCCCGAACGACTGGAAATGCTCGATATTGAGACCGCTTCCCAAGAGTGGTGATCCGAGTAAGATAGAGAACTATAGACCAATGTGTTTGACTTCGATATTATCCAAAGTTCTCGAGGAGGTTGTGAAAACTGTCTGCTGTCGTTCTTCGAATGGATGGACGTATTGACGCCAGCGCAACACGGCTTTACGAAAGGGCGATCCTGCATCACCAACGTGATGTACGTAAACCACCAGTGAGTACGAGCTCTCATTGAACCGAAGGGTATTGAAGTGGTGTACATCGACTCTAGTAAGGCGTTTGACAGAGTTAACCATGAGGTATTCCTTGGTAAACTGAGGACGTACGGAATCTGTGGCATGTTACTTCAGTGGTTACACGAGTTTATTGTGGGACGTAAGTTTAGAGTACAGGTCAATGACTACCTGACAATCTGGTTCTCATCGACTAGTGGTGTGCCTCTAGGAACTGTGCTTGGGCCAGTATTATTTCTTATTCATATCAACGATCTTCCACAGCAGCTGCAGTCACCAT